TTTTCAGTGGAAAGGGCATAAACCAGATCAGATGGGAGCTGAAGGAAAGGAATTGGAGGCATCAGCTGTAAATGGCCCATTCAATAAGCTTAGGGAGGAAGAGGATGGACACTGCTGTAACCATCCACAGCAAACAAGTTTCATTTCTTAAAGCTTAATCCCTTATTTATATTCAGTGACTGGTATTACAAAGGAATCTGGCAATAATCATCATAAAAATCCCTTAAGTGGACTTGTAATTTTTCAAACCATCATCTAAAGATTAACTAATTAATTGATTTATTAACTAGCATCCTAATAGTCCATTCAGAAAACTGCTTTCTGAATGAAAACCAGGATCTGAACTCTGTAAATAAGCCCTCGCCGCATCCCTCCCTGCAAGGAAAGACAGATACGCAACCAGACTGAGGGGTGTACATGACCCTGGGTCTGCAGAGGGGATGGACATTTACACAGAGATGCTGCTTTGCATATCACCACCCAAGTAACAGTTCCCAGCTGTTCAGAGCAGATATAAATGTTTCACCTTCACACTTCATGCTTCTGAGCTCGGTGTCGGTCACTAACGTATCAAGATGATCTCCCAGACTCAGCTTCTCTGGCTCCTTGTGCTCTGCATTCAGGGTGAGAACAACAACAGGGGAAATTAGCTTTAAAGAAAGTTATAGTCTTTTACTAGGCTGCAAATGCTCAGAATTTCCCTTCCCAGTAATCATTCCTAGCAGCAATTAGTGTCAGCAGAATGAGAGCTACAGGCGAGACACCTAGAGATGCAGCTTTGTCGTTTTTTAAATATGCTGATGTTGGAATGACTTTATATTTCTTTCTATCCTAAATCTATTCTCACATTGCAGACTCCAGTGGGCAGATCGTGCTGACTCAGACTCCAGAATCCCTGGCAGTGTCTCCAGGAGACAGAGTCACCATCAACTGCAAAGCCAGTTCCAGTGTTGGTGGTGCTATAGCCTGGTACCAACAGAAATCAGGACAAGCTCCTAAGCTCCTTATCTATGATGCTTCCACCCGTGCCTCTGGGATCCCAGACCGGTTCAGCGGCAGTGGGTCGGGCACTGACTACACATTCACCATCAGCAGGGTAGAAGCGGATGATGCTGGAGATTATTACTGTCAGCATTATTACGGCTACCCTTTCACACAGTGATACAGACCAGTACAAAAACCTG